AAAACCGCTTCAATGTGCTCTTGTTATATATTTATACTACTCTTATATAATTCTGGTTGCTAACCATCTTTATATAAGTAGCTACTTATTTTTGTGTCCTAATTAAATCTAAATTTGGTGTCCAATTTTTTAGTTGATCAAGTATCTTAGACTTGCTTAAACTTTTATATTTAAGATCTTAATATAACTTGAATTTTTGGTTCTTAAGAGGATTGAATATTTCCAATATGTCTTAAAATCCTATGTTTTATTTTCTAAATTTTAGATGGATTGGATATTTCCAACTTGCCTTAGACTTATTTGTCTAAGTTTTTCTTCTTGTTTGAATCCTATTAATTGAGATCTACTATTCAATTAAATAGGTAGTTATGAATTACAACATTTATAACTAGGATACAAGATTAGATTCTATAGCTCAAATGAACTTATTCTTTTAAATTATTTTGTCAAAATAAGAGCTATTATATTATAAATCAATGAAAAATTATGGTTTATAATACCTAGACTAATCAAAATAAAATCAATAAAATAAGGACACAATCTAAAGTCCTACAACTTAAGATTTTATTATCTACAACTTTCTCACAATTCCAAAAACTTTAGACAACACAATTGAAGTTTATTTTTTTATCAAGGTTATTGAAAATGATAGCATAATATTCTTTGAATTTTTGAAGTTCATACTTTTGATTTTCATAATTATTATTGGAATAAAAAATAAAATATTATAATAAATATAATTAATTTAAGATAAAAACTCTTATAAAAGAAAAATCATCTTTGGAACCGAATTTCTTCTAAATAGAAAAAAAATGTTACTCAAAATATCAATTTTAAAGATGTATAGTTCAAATTAAGATCATGTAAAAAAGAAGTGCTCATAGAATTAATATATTATTAAAGAATTTTGAAGAACCTAATCTAAAACAAATACTATGGCTTTTTATATTAAACATGTATGTTAGGTCTTCTTAAAATAATACTTCATAGATTTTGGGGGTGTTTCTGTACTAAATAATTGTAAGATTGAACAACATCTATCTTGTGCAAATTATCTATAATATCTTAAAATTGAAAATTTCATAAACTTGGATATTATACTAATTGGATAGTAAATCAGTCAACAAAAGTATCTAAGTTAATAATACAAGTCATTATAAAAAATAAACAAATACTTACTATCAAGTGGATTAAAGGTGTGAATTTTGGTACTTAAAATACAAATAAGTCTAAAATCTTTTTTTTTTTTTTTTTTTTTTTTTTTTTCTAAAATTGCTTTTTGATTTGAAAAAAACTCTTGATTTACCTTAAATCATTATTAGATTGTTATACCTCTTATTAGATATTGATTTGTGGATATAAACTCACAAAAAATTCTTCTTATTTCAAATTTGATAAGTTTTTGAAAAAATTGACATTAAAAGGAATTCTATACTAATTTTTAGTTTAAGCTTAATTGTGTAAAATTCAATTTTTTAAAAAAGACTATAAAAACTTAACTTAGATTAAAAAATAAAAGAGATAGAATAGTAAATTGAAAAGTAATCTATATTTACAATCAATTCAAATAAAAATTTGAAATAAATAATAATAATAATAATGGTCTTCCTACAATTACTATCAATACTATCAACTTTTGTAATTATCTATACTACTTCAATTATTAGTGATTAGTTGTCTTTTTCATAACAGCCATTTATCCTTTTGACCTAATTTGCTCTAATCCAAATTTTAGATTGTCCAATTCTTGTGCAAATTAAGTATCTCCAATCTATCTCCTATTGTCTAGATTATATTGGTCTAAGTCTATTTATTAGGTTGGTTCTTCCAAACTGTTCTTACTTAACTAAGTATTTTAATAAAATCCTAAAAAGCTTTTTAACAAAAAAAAAATAAAAAAAGAAAAAAATTGCAAAACAATTCTTGAGATTTAAAGAATTTAAAATACTACTATTTTTTTTATATCTAAGTATCTTGTCTTAGGATAATTTTGATAAAACACAACAATATGAAATTTAATAATTAAATATGACATAATATTTAAAAAAAGAAGTTTATTTGAAGCCTTATAGAATAAAGAGATGTGTTATGAAATGTACTAAAAGAAAAAAAAAAAATGCAAGATCAATGACATAGTAGTAAGTTTTTATTCCAAAGTTGAAATAGGTCTTTGATGGTAAGCAAATTCTTTAGAGGAAAAATAGATAAGATAATATCATAGAACTCTAAAATTCTATTAAAAGATTTAATACTTTATAAAAATAAAAATAATGATTATCTAGTAATACCAATGACCTTGCTTAAATTGTATCTTAATAAGAGGTTCCTAGTAATTTTGGATGATGTTATATCTTTTAAATCCATTACTAATTGATGCACATGGAAATCCACTTTTATGTCTAAAACAGAACGGAAAATATCATAAATATCCCTAAAATATGTTGAAATAACAAGAAGATCCTTACATTCTTAAATGTAGAAAATCTATGCCTCACTTTTGTGATAATTATAAATCTCCTCTTCAACTTGATATGCTATAATTATTATTTTGTTTTAGATTCATCAGAGGCCTAGTATGTGTGCCATGCAAATTTTGATGCACCACTTTTTTGCACAGTTTGGGTACTCCATGGATTAAATCTTGCTACTAGCATCCCACACTTTTTGCAATAAAAAGTTTGCAACTCCCATGTGGCAACTCTCATGTCGAGACTTTGGTTTTGTAAATCATCCAACTAGTAGTATTTGATGCCAACGGAACTTACTAATTGTTGTAGACTTTTGCATCAATCTACCATCTATCCAAAGACTCCATCTCCATTGAGTAAGTCATTTTTGCAATAATGGATGATAAAGATTCTCAAACTGGTGCATAGAAGTTGCAAATTTTGTGTTGCAAAAAGTGTGCAATGACAACAATGACGTCCAAACTGACATCCAAACTATGCAAAAAAGTTCCATGTCAAAATTTGAACAGCACACGGTTTGGGCTCCGGATGCACCTACATAGGATAATAATTATAGCTTGTCAAGTTTGAGGACACATTTACATTTACCACAAAAGTGGGGTAAATTTGCTATTATCAAGAATACATGGATATTCTTAATATTTCAGGGGTATTATGATATTTTCCCAAAAAAGAAAAAGGATGGGACATTGTACGCTTCCTGCCAGCTAGGATTGCTCGAGGGGATGGCCTTCACGTAGGGTGACGTTCACATCCACGTCATCCGGTCTTCTTCTTCGTCTTCCGTCCTTCCATCCTTCACGGCGTCGTCGTCGTCTTCGCAGTTGTCGGTTTAGGGCACTGTTTTCAGGGGACAGTTGTTCGAAGTCACTGTCATCCTCTATTTCTGCTCTTGACATGATTTCTGGCATCGTTGACCTTCGAATCGTCTACGCTGTTCATTAATGTAATTATATGGTTGAGAGATAGGCAGTCTCTCTGTTTGCGTATTCTTGCGGAAGCGAGGGACGCGTTGGGACGGATATGGCTGAACCTAGGAATGGAGACTCCATAATTGACCTCCCCCCCCCCCGGACTGCCTGGACGAAGGGTGATTCGAGATGTGCTTGAATTGGGCTATTTTTCGGGTTTTCGTTGAAAAAAGAAAAAGAAAAAGAAAAAGAACAGAAAAACCAACAAAGCTGGTGGTGTATCGTTGGTTGAGTCGTACGAATGGAGGTGGGATTCCTACACATTTTTATACGAGTTCGGGGAGTGTATATGGCCGGATTTTGACAAGCGTCAGGAATCATGCATGACTTTACTCGACAAAAACCGTGTACTGTTTCATAAAACCCATTCCAGCAGATTCGCCAATATCACTGGAAAAAAAAAAATTAAAAAAAAAAAAATTAAAAAGAGGATAAAGAGTTTGTTCAGGAGAGTCGATTTCAAAATTTGACATAATTTTAGGGCGTTTGAATGTTGGGGCAGATAAATGCTTCGAGTAAACAGCGTTTATATTGTAAAACACATAAAATAAGGATCTGGGTGAATCTCTTATCACCCATATAACTATATATCTTTGTAGATATTCGATCTAAAATCCTTGCAGGATGTCTAAATTCAAGGTTTCGTTCCTTGTAGGCAATTTTTTCTTCGGACAATTTGGGTATGTGAGAAATTGACAATACGGAGACTGTTTCCTGTGTCTTTATTCTTCGTGACGACGAAAGAATACTTAAGGACGTGACAGATTAAAAAAGGGAGGTCTTTCCTGCAATAGCACCACAGGACGGAGGAATGAGCTGAAAGGAGCCTTTTCCCAGATGGCGCGTGCGTGGACAACTCTCTTTGACAATCCAAACAGTGCAGGATTTCCAGGACCAACAGTGACAACGTGGTGAATTTCAATGTGCAGGAGTAGCTCTAAAGGCCTTTTCCTTGCGCTCTTCTGGTGGACGACCCGCGACTGGGTAGCTCCCAAAAGATGGAGCGTCACCCATGGCAGATGGAATGCACGAGGGCCCAGCCTTGCAGTGTGGCCGTCGTTCGGCGGAGAGGATTCGCTAAAGAAGTAGCTGGAATCCAGCCTCCTTTGGCCAATTGCATCATCTCAGCCATTTAGCCCAATTATAAATGATCCCTGAGTTATTTACTAGTGCGATTTCTAAATACATCTGCATCGGTACTTTGTGCGTTGCTATCAGCCGATTCTGCCCAATCATTGAAGGTGGCTACGACTGCGTTGCCGAGAGCTTCCGCCCTCTGAGCCCGCTATCTCTACCGTGTGATAAAGGTCCTGGGAACTCTGGATGTACATGGCATGCATCGGCAAGGCGAGTTCGATTCTTATTGTAGACTACCTTGTGCAGGTTTCTGGTGTGTGGAGCTCAAATCTTGTCTTGTTTCAGACCCGGTGTGGATTTTCAGGGGCCCCTGAAATTCCATTAGAATCGGAGATTGATTGCACCCCTTGGATCTGTACCCCTAGCATCCTTTTGAGACGGTCACGAAGAGTGTCGAGGTTGGTTTCTGAACTAAAGATTGGACAGGATTGGTGTTGCATGCTGTGGGTGTTTTTAGAGCGTCGACGTCTTCTTCTCGATAACTCTCGACTTTTTTTTGGCGTTCTCTTTCCCTTGTATGGTCGCTTGCAAAGTTAGAGCATAGGCCTCTTGTCTAACGTAGGTTGCAACCAGATTTTAGCTGAGGTTGAGTCATCCACGTCTTCTCTACGAAGGCGCTTTCATGAAAAAAAAATTCATTTGTTGACTCGAAGTAGGTGGATTGAGGAAAATCTGACGCTCGTTTCCCACTCCGATTGATCGCCTGAAATAATACAGCTGTCTTTTTGGTGACTGGCAGAGACGTTCCATGTTCTTATAGTATAGCTAGTAATGATAGAAAATTCCAGGAGTCGTGCATGTAGTTGGCGAACCAGGACCAATTCACGGGAGCCCTTCCGTGTTGTCTGTGCTTGTGAAAGTTGCATGGAGAGTCGCATCTCTAGGTTTTGAAGGTCCTTGAGGTCTGCTGATAGTTATAGGCTGCCTCTGTGCACGTATCTACTTGCATGATGGTAGCTTTTGAGAGGTTTTTGTTGAGAGGTTGGCTGTAGAGCTCGGTGCAGGTATAGCTTTATTTTTTCTTCTTCTTCTTCTTCTTCTTCTTCTTCTTCTTATTTTTTCTTTTATTAAGAAATCTGGGAGTATCTGAATGAATTCAACTACCTCTAGTTAACAAATGCTTTGTTAAAGTTTTGCAGGCTTCGAAATAGCTGACATCGTCTTACCAGGTCGCTTGCAGCGGATTCTCAGAAGTGGAAGGTTAAGGTTCTGATGTTTCCTCCAATTTCGAGTGGAAGTATAAGACCTACCTTTGGTATAGTAGCACTCTATCATCTGGAAAGGATCACGCTGGGACCGGATTATCACAGGAACAGGGGGGAAGTGTTATTCACAGAGCCATGAGTTCGTTTCCTAAGCAGAGAGTGGCAATTATCACTTTCGTTTACTGCTTTGCGGTTGCTATAATTTGTGGCACGTGGTCCCCCGATGGCAACTTCGGTCGGTCAAGCGGGTTTGCGCTAGAATTACAGCCCGTTTTGGGAGAACCAGAAGATGGATCGTCAATTTCATCTTCCTACGGAGCTTTGACGGTGGGTGCACGGAAGCTGACTGAAGCCAAAGCTGAAACTGATCCATCTGAGGAGAAGAAAGTGTCATCGGATTCGATCTTCTCGCTGGAAATTACGGAAGATGATCATGTTGTGCTTGACCTCCGAAGCACCCTCCCTAGGCTTTACCACTCTCCTGAATTCTTTGCCATGAACTACAATGATATGGCCAAAAATCTGCGCATCTATCTTTACCCAGCCTCACAGAACTACAACTTCACTCAGTACGAGTATGGGATGAATCCCTCCGAGATGGTTTCAGAACTCGGGGTAGAAACCAGCAGCACTACAGATACCTTCTTCAATTTGCTCGTCGAGAGCAAACGTTTCGTCACTGACGACGCCGACGGCGCTCATTTGTATTTCCTGCCAATCTCAATCGACCGCGTCTGGGCCGCTGTTGGCCCTGCTAAGGTCGGTGAACATCTTCGCCACTACTTGCAATGGTTGAGGAACACGTACAAATTGTGGGACCTGTCACTGGGAGCAGATCATTTCTACTTCTCAAGCCACGCATACGATCCCATCAACCATCGCAACAACCTAGAGCTCACGAAGAACGCCATCCAGGTCGCGAGCTCACCGCTCCGTCGTAATCAAAACTTTTTCCCCCACAAGGACATCTCACTGCCTTCCTACAAATCCCAGCACATAGCAGAAGTGCAAAATTTGGTGGGAGCGAGCCAAAGACCGAAGTTAGTTTTCGTCAGCAGCCCTCCGGAAGACATCGACCCCATCGTCGCATCCGTGATTCAAAAGTGGACCTCCGACTCCGACTTCCACGTCGAATCTGCAGACCAGCCATCTCCCCCATTCGAAAAGCTACTCTCCAGCCGGTTCTGCGTGAGTGTTTCCCCGCAAGCAATGCTCAACGTTGTGGACTCCCTACGACTCGGCTGCGTGCCCGTCCTGATCGCGGACTCCATCATCTACGATCTCCCATTCCAAGACGTCCTCAACTGGAAAGAATTCTCGGTGGTGCTTGGCGTCAAGGAGTCTCCCAACTTGAAGACTCTTTTGAGCAGTATTTCAACCGATGAATATCGCAAAATGCAGTACCTCGGCCACCAAGCCAGCAAGCACATGGAGTGGAATGATCCTCCAAAACCGTGGGATGCTTTCCACATGACTCTGCATGAGCTTTGGGTTCGGCGACACAGCATCAAGTACGCACGCCGCAACGAAGATTCACCGTCGCAACCCCAACGGTAATCTGTCTCCGAACTACTGACAGATCCTTGGCTGTCTTGATTGAACTACTATTATTTACAGTCATAGTGATAGACACGTAATACATTCAATTCGGTAACCTCCACATAAGATCATGGAAGTGTATATAGAAATGACACAATTGTTAAAGACGATAGTCGGTTAAAAGTAGAAGGTATAAACACATGTGTACAATAGACACATCCCCACTTTGAAGTTCCGTTCCAATAAATTCCAGAGGAAGATGCTTTGAGGTAATACTGCTGATGAGATGTGAAAATAGCAGGCGGGGTGCAGATATATATATATATATATATATATATCTATACTCTGGGTTTGCTCTTGAGTCAAAGTATATTTCACTTCGGTGAAAACAAAGTCTTTCTATTAGACAGCATTGTTCCTGCAGATGAGCCGCTGCCAGGGTGTGGGTGTGGATATCAACGACCTCAATTTGATACCAAACGCAGACCTCGAACCTTCATGCCCAGAAGTCTTCAAAACATCAAAGAACATTTTTCTTACTGCCATGAATTACATAGAATCGGCACATCATCTTTCCGCAACAAAATTTCTATTTGATAATTTCCTTTTAAAATAAAATCACATACACATACACATACGAGCACAAAGTCGGCTGCGATATAAGGTCCATGCAGTCGGCCACCTCAAGGTCGATGCTCAAGGACAGCTCTTCTCGAAAAATGGGTGAGTTCACTGAAAACTTTGTGCAAAGATTCCTCGATCTCTGGAGGGCAAAAACACGAAGCCTTTGAATGATTGGAGTGAGTTGCTACAATTCCATCAGATTTGGTGATGCTACCAACAATAAAGAGTAACCGTCAGTATCAGATTCGCCGTGACAGCTTGTGGGTTGCTCGATGCTATGATGTGACAAATTTTCGGAGAGTCTGGGCAGTTGTCGGCGTCTCACGAGTCTCAATGAGGACTCGGCCTTGTGCACAGTGAGCTCAGCTCGGCATGGGAATCCAACCCTTACATAATTGAGACGAGCTTTGATTCCGAGCAGCATGTTGAAAGGATTGCGGATGAGAAGAGTGGGAAGTGCGTGGGTGAAAGGTTCTGTGCAGGAGTGTTCTGTGGGTCCAGGGTTGAAAAGCGGCGATGTGCGTGGAGCTTTGCATGCCGCTCTTGGCGTGGACCTTCAACGCCTGGCTCTCACCTTCCTTCCCCGTGTGTCCCCGGATTCCAAAGACCTGAAAATAAAAGGGGGTCTTCTAGTTGCCTATTTTGAAGCAGGACCTTGACTGAGGCACCGTATTAAGGATGTGTTTCTGCAGGAGGACAAAGCGTGCTCATTATATATATATATATATATATATATATAGATACGGCTTTGTACATATTTCGTGATTGTATTATTTAGGAGGTTATAAATATTTTACTTTTGAGGTTAAAGCCTCTGTACGTAAAAGGTTGTGGTGATTTTATGTATATATACATATATAAATTCCAGACAGTAAAGTTTATTCTAAGGAATTATGATAAAGATATTTTTTTGGTATCCATGTGTTATTTTTATTTTTTTGGTAAAGTTTTTGATCGGATGAGACTTGAATCTGTACACTCATGAGTGTGTTTCATGCATTTATTTGGCATATTTAGAAGCTCTGTATCAAACTAAAGTTGGTTGTATAATGCTAATTTTTAATAAGGTTCAAGAAAGACATCAATAACAAGGTTTTGCTAATGATTTGATTTCATAATCAGAAAGAATTAACTATTTGTTGAAACTTTGTTGCAAAATTGGGATTCTTATAAAGAGCAAGTTTGTTGGAGACCTTTCTAATGTATACTGATGTCATTGCAATGTGGGTTATGCTTTTATAATAGAAGATTTTAGGATAGTTTTAAGAATATATTAGAATATTCTTTTATCTATAAAATTGGATTCTATGTTAGTGACTTGATAATTGTATAATGTAGCAAAGAGACTTGTCTAATAAAGTTAATCAATTTTACATGTGAAATCATGCTCATTTGTCAAGCTCTCTACAACTATTAACATGTTAAGATTTTTTTTCAAATATATCTTTCAAATACCTTGAAATATAAAGAATATCCTTACATTCTTCATAATAGCAAATGTATCTCTTGTGGTGATATCCTATCATATACAAGGAGTACATTTTTTGTTATAAAAAATAAAGGAATATTCTTGATATTTCAAGGTATTTAAGGGATATATTTGAAATTTTTTCAAAAAAATATTGCTTTAGTATATAATCTTGTCTTGGATTATTAAGAAGGTTATCTTCATAGATTGATATGTTAAATCAGTTGTGATCTCAATGATTGGATTATACTATTGAGGAGTTAGTTTGCAGGAGGTCTATTTTTTATACAATGCTTTTCAATTTTTCTAGGCTCTAGCAAGGCTCACAACATCTTATCTTTGTGATTTGGTTTTTTTGCAATGTTTTATGGATGCAAATCATAGATTTTTAGCGAATTTAGAAGGCATGCAAGAAAATACAAAATTTGTGGCAAAATCTCTTTAATTAATGTCTTAGAGTTTACAATGAATGGCTTTAAGTTGCTTAAATTCAAAATCTTGTCCAATGTTTCTACAAACGGTAATGTAGTTTCTAATAAAACTTCTTATATATTCTCCCTCCTAATTCTACTTTGTTTGTTAGATAGATTCAACTTACATTCACTTTATATTCATTGGATTTGTAAACCACCAAGTTTCTTAATCACTATAGTAAATAATAACCATAGTACTTTGATTGCTTAAGACAAAATAAATCTTGATGGATTCTTTGCTTTAAAAATATTTGAGGTCCAAATTCAAGTTATTAACCAAAAGTAATCATAGAAAAAAAGAATAAAAGCCACTAGTATAAAGAAAGAAACAACAATTTTTTAAAAATATTTCCTTGAAGAACCTTAAAATATCTTAAAATATGAAGAATATCCATGTATTTTCAAATATATCTCTCATAAAAATTGGATATCACTATCAGGGATATTGTGACAAATATATATATATTTATTTTATTATTTATCTATATGATTAAGTAGAAGTAGATAAAAATAGATTTATTTCATAATATTTTCTGAAAATACTTTCTAAAAACTTCGTAGACATTGCATTGATTTTACATGTGTTTATGGTTGATTGGTAGGTTAGAAATTTGGTCAACAAGTTAATCACATATTGGTAGCTTGCGGAACAAACTAACTATATGGCATATATATAGAAAACTTGCCTTGTAAATTAAGATACATGTTTTTCAAAGTCAACACGTGTTAGATGTCTTATAGGACATTACCATGTAGCTCTTAGTTAAGAATATATATAGAAGTAAGAGTAAAACCTTCTTTATTCTTCTCAATACCTTTTTACTCTTTAGTCTTGTTTCAAGACTTTTTAGTCTTCTTATCTTTGGCAATAGCTATGTTAGTTCAATATATTAATCTCTTAAATGAATTCCTAGTCTTTTTGAATAATACAAGAGTATATTGAAGCTTTCTTTCTTTAAGATTCATATCCTTGACAATTTGATAAGAATGCTAACTTATTGTCCTTATATTGTTTTAGAAGTAAATGGATTATTCCAATTCTATTGTTGTATTTTGAAGCTTGTGGATTATCCACCTTTAAACAAACTGTTTAGTTTTCTAATATCAAATTTTTTCCTTAAAGAGAGTGGATTATTCTTTTTTGTAGAAATTTTTATTTAATATTAGAGGTTTCCGATTATCCTCATCTAATTTGACTTATGAATTTGCTAAGTTTTTTAAAATAGAAGGAAAATTCATAGATGCTATACTTGATAGAAGTAAGAATAGATTTGCAACTATTGCAGATCTTCATGAACTTCTCAATACTCTTAGAGTAGAAATTTCACGCATCATTAGTGCCAATCATAGAAATTTTAATCCTACACATATAAAAAAAAGTTCAAAATCTATGGCAAGAAGTTGTGTAATTGAAGGAAGTAAGTAGATTGATCTTATAACCAAATCTAAGAAGTTTTACTTCTATAAGTGTGACATCAATGCATATTAGTATGCCTAATCAGTTTAATGGAATAAGATCAAAATTTTGAAGTTTTTTGTAACAAGTCAAGTTCTATCTAAGATTGCATCCCTTTCAATATCTTAATGGATTTACTTAAATTGAATTTATGGGCACAATTCTTTCTAGAAGTGCTCTCTCTTGATTTGCACCATTAATGGAAAAGAATTCATAACTTCTTTATGATTTGAATTCATTCATAGAATTTTTTACGGCTGCATTTGAAAAAAATAATTGAAAAAGAGTAACAAAGATCAAACTCTTATCTGTACAACAAGGATTATGGTCACCTACCATATATACTATTCAATTCCAAAACCTTGCTTGTGTCACGGACATACTCATATAAGCCAGTAATTACATATATAAATAAGTAGAAGTAAATAAAAGTAGATAAAAATAAGTTAATTCTATAGTATTTGATATAAAAGCTTCGTAGAAGCTTCATAAACATTGCTTTGACTTTATAGGTGTCTTTAATTGACTTTTTGGATTAAAAACGTGGTCAATAAGTTGGCCATGTGCCACACATGTTGTTAGCTTGAAGACCAAGCTAATAATGTGGCCCACACGTAGAAAAACTTACCTTGTAAGTCAAGGCATGTGTCCTACAAAGTCAACACTTATTGGAGGTCCTATAGAACATTGCCATGTAGCCTCTAGTTAGATAATATATATAAAGACAAGAGTGAAGCCTTCTTCACTCTTGTCAACTCCTTTCTTGCTTCTAGTCTAGTTTCAAGGGTCTCTAGTTTTCTTGTCTTTTGGCAATAGCGATTCCAATTTCTCTTTCAATATACATACTTGTTTATTTATATTTTGTTACCTTTTTTTGAGTGAAGGCTCACTTGTGTGAATTGCTTTTTCATCGAGTTCTTGTCATTGACAGATTGACTAGAGTACACCTATAATATTAGAGTTTTATCTAATCTTGATTAAGAGTGGATTACACCTTTTTTTTGATAAGATATAAGCATATTAGAAGTTGTGGATTATCCTCTTCTAAACTAATATTGTCCTTAGTATTTTCTTTGTTCTTAAGTCCTCCCTTCAATTTGTCTTGAGTGATATTAGACATCTTCTCTTTTCTAAGTATTATAATGGCAGAACTTTTTGAAATGAAGAGTACAATGACACAAATGCAAAAATAATTGAGGGAGTTAATGCTTATGATGCATCAACTCAATTTACCACCACAAGAAGCAACAAG